TTGTGTGGAAACATAAATGTCTGCCTTGGCTAGTCCATTGCCAAGATTATCATCTCACCATCTGTCCATCAACCACACATACAGTGCTTATAAAAGCAAGAATCTTATGCATATTATTTGATTACTTTTCATTGCATGCAAAAAGCTCAGCAAAGCCATCACTCTGTGATTCACCAAGTAGGACTTACATGTTTTATTTTATTTTTTATTTATTTTTATTTTTTGATATGATGCTTAAATATTGTGTGCATTGTGTATCTAGAGCTCATTTTATATCACCTTACATAAGCAAACTCCCCACAGTTAAGTACTGGACCTACAGTATTAACCTCTTCTAAACTTTTTTTTTTTTTACTACAAGTGTAATATGACCTTTTGAATCTCTGATTAAACATGCTTTAATAATGGATATATCGTATAGGCCTATGCAAGAAAAATCTTCGTTGTAATGCACCATACTGTTTGTTTTTGATCTACAATGCTCAAAATCCCAGGAATACCAGCATTTAACTGTTTGTCTCTTATCAGTTTTTATCAAAAATCAAAGAATTTACTTTCTGTATATGAGGAAAATAAAAATAAATGTTAAATGAGATCTATTTCATATCCAAGTTGCTTCTCTAATAAGACTGGTATAGAGAGCAAAGAAGTGTTTTGCTTTGCAGATCTTTATCCGAATATAACCACTCTTGTAATCTCATATGTGACTCCTCAAATATCAGGGGAGATCTGTCACAAATTGTTCTCAGATTTGTATAATCACTGAAAAATAAATAAATAAATAAATAAAACAAAATAAAATTATAAAAAATAAATAAATAAATAAATTCTGTCTCTCTTTGTAATTACATATGAAATCCACTAGCAATTTCTGAGTGAAAATAAAAAAAAATGCTGTAGTATAAAATCAAATTCTTTCAAAACAAAATAACTTGAGCTTTTACACTAATCAGTCACAATAACATTGAATAACATTGATTTGATCAATTACAGTGGCACCTGTCAAGGGTTTGGGATATATTAGCCATCAAGTGAACAGTCAGTTCTTGAATTTCATGTGATGAAAACAAGAAAAGTACTGTAGGCAAGTGAAAAAGATCTGAGTGATTTTGACAAGGAATCATTTTGATGAGGGTGTGTCAGAGCATCTCCAAAACGGCAAGTCTTGTGAGGTGGTACACGCAAGGACAACCAGTAAAACGGTGTCAGGGTCATGGGTGCACAAGGCTTACTAATGTAAATGGAGGGCGAAGGCTAGCCCACCTGGTCCGATCACCCAGAAGAGCTCCAGCTCAAATTGATGAAATACACAATGCTGGCCATAACAGAAAGTGGTCAGAACACACAGTGCACTGACATTTACTGCACAGCTTCAGACCGGTCAGAATGCCCATGATATCCCCCGTCTTGTCACGCCCATGGACTGTGTGTTTGTTTTCCTCCCCCACGTGCTCTATGTTTACCATGTGTCCTAGTTTCTCCCTAGTGCTGATTGTGTTCCTTGATTTCAGGTGTTCCTTCATTAGTTTCCATGGTTTTTGATTAATAACTCCACCTGTTTCAGTTCTCCCTGATTACGTTCCCTGTGTTTAATAGCACTGTGTTTTCCTGAGTCTTGCATCTAGTCTTAAACGTCTTTAGGGTCCTGGCTACGTGTGTGTAAATAAGTCAAGTATTTATGTATTCCCCTACGTCTCCTCGCTCCTTTGCTCCACGCTCCGACACAGTAGCAGCAGCATATGGATGAACGAGCCATGCTCATCGACCCCGCTCACCTACGCGAAGGCATTCATGCCGCTCGCACTCGCCAGCTCCCTCGATACAGAGAGCCTTGTGACACTGTTCCAGCTCGGGATCACTTACCATCAACCAACGGATCTCCCAAACACCACCAACCTCGATTGGAAAGAGGCGGTCATTCGGCGTCTGGAGAGTCTCCGATCCGGAATCCCACCACCCACTGCACCGCAGTCAAACCCGCCGGCCGCTCGGAAATCGAGGCCACTGGCCGCTGCACTCTCAAGCCCGCCGGCCACTCTGAAGTCTTAAGCCCGCCAGCAGTTCCAAAGTCAGGCTCGCCGGTGGTTCCATTGTCAAAAGCCCGCCGGCCAATTCTCTCCCAAGCCCTCAGCTGACAGCAGCAATCTCCTTCACCTCTGCTCATAAAGGGAGAATGTGGAGGAAGAGAGTGTCGGCTCCAGCCCCTGAGTCCGCCCCAGTGTCGGCTCCAGTCCCTGAGTCCGCTCCTGAAAGGGCTCCAGTTTCCATGTCCAGCCCAGGGAGGGCCACATTTCCCGAGTTAGGCTCACAGAGGGCCTCAGAAGCTGATATTCTCCCCAATGATTGGGGGGGGGGGACTCCGTCATGGCCTCGTGAACGGTCTGCTCCCCCATGGCCTCCTGAACTGTCTGCTCCGCCATGGCTTCCTAGTCTGCCTGCTCCGCGATGGCTCCCTGAACTGCCTGCTCTGCCATGGCCTCCTGAACTGTCTGCTCCGCCATGGCTTCCTGGTCTGCCTGCTCCACCATGGCTTCCTGGTCTGCCTGCTCCGCCATGGCTCCCTGAACTGCCTGCTCTGCCATGGCTCCCTGAACTGTCTGCTCCGCCATGGCTTCCTGGTCTGCCTACTCCACCATGGCTCCCTGTACTGCCTGCTCCGCCATGGCTCCCTGAACTGCCTGCTCCGCCATGGCTTCCTAGTCTGCCTGCTCCGCCAACTGCCTGCTCCACTATGGCTTTCTAGTCTGCCTGCTCCGCCCGCTCCACCATGGCCTCCTGAACTATCTGCTCTGCCATGGCTCCCTGAACTGCCTGCTCCGCCATGGCTCCCTGAACTGCCTGCTTCGCCATGGCTCCCTGAACTGCCAGCTCCTTTATTTCAGGTGTTCCCTCATTAGTTTCTATGGTTTTTGATTAATTACTCCACCTGTTTCAGTTCTCTCTGTGTTTATTAGCCCTGTGTTTTCCTGAGTCTTGCGTCTAGTCTTAAACGTCTTTAGTGTCCTGGCTACATGTGTGTAAATAAAGTCAAGTATTTCTGTATTCTCCTACGTCTCCTCGCTCCGCACTCCGACACAGTAGCAGCAGCACTGTGACAGTCTACTGCTTAAAGTACCTACAGTGGGCACATGATTGTCAAAACTGGACTGAAACAGTGGAAGAAGGTTGCCTGTTCTGATGAATCATGTTTAGATCAGGTGAATGGCTGAGTGTGTGTGTGTTGTTTACCTGGGAAATACATGGCAGCAGGATGCACTATAGGAATAAGACAGGCCAGTGGAGACAGTGTTATACTCTTGGCATTGTTCTGCTGGGAAAACTTGGGACCTGGCATTCATGTGGATGTTTCTTTGACACATACCACCTACCTAAAAATTGTTGCAGACCACATACACCCCTTCATGGCAATAGTGTTTCCTGATGGCAGTGGCCTCTTTCAGACAAATAACGCTCCCCGCCACAATGCAAAAATTGTGCAGGAACAAGAGTTTAAAGCATTGCTTTGGCCTCCAAATTCCCCAGATCTAAATCTGATTATGGGATGTGCTGGACCGACAAATCTGATCCATGGAGGTCCAATCTCACAACACTAATTTATTGGTGTCAGACACGATATGACATGTTCAGAGGTCTTGTGGTGTCCATGCCTCAATATATCAAAGCTATTTTGGCAGCACGAGGGGGGCCTACATGATATTAGGCAGGTGGTTTTAATGTTGTGAATGTCTTGCATATATGCTCTAATTTTTGTCTATTTTTATTTTTCCAGAAAAATTATTAGATGAAATATCTGAGAAAAAGTTCCCCTGAGCTATAAAAGAGCAACTAAATATACAAGCAACCCTTTGCTTTATCATTTTGATTGTTTCATTGAAAATTCATGTTGCCATAGAAAAATTGCAAATAAATCAATCAATCAATGACAAAGCAATTATAATCACTATGTCTTTTGCTATTGTCAGTTGTTGTGTCTGACACGAGAGTGCACTTGCATCGACTCTAGCATCCACAGCCGGATCTTGCAGCCCATCTCTGATGTTTTCATGAGAAGTGGATTTTGGAAGGAATGAGGACAGGAAATAAGAGAGAGCTGTGTTAGTTTACTTGAATGAGGGATGATTTACAGTAGTGGGGAAAGCACTCAGGGCCTCGTCGGGTGTTGTGTAACACATACAAATGGCCATGTCAAACACTCATTAATTTGATTGGAGGAGAGACCTTCACCATGAAGAATAAAAGCCACCTGGCTCATTTCATTTAAAAAAAGAAAAATGCTAATATTGTGGCGACTCACTCGCTGAATGCTCATTTTTACTGGTCGGATCCATTTATGCTTGTATAAATGGTTATTCATTCCATTGAAAGGAAGATGACTTTTCATTGTGCATGCTAAATTCAAAGTGAGTGAAAGTCAGTTACTTGCAGGCGATAAACACAATGAATGTCTGAGTCAGTGAGAGGCTGGTTTGTTATGTGATGCCTCGCATGCTTCCATTAAGACAATAGAATGCAGTGTTTTAGAAAGGAACAATGCCTCTGCCATTCATCAGGAGATGTGTTTAGGTAGAGAGGAAGAGAGTGGAGCAGGGTTCAGTGAAGACCGCAGCAGAGAGTTAAGAGTTATTTGACAGGGTGACGTGCATTTGACTAATGAAATGAACCGTGAGTTGTATGCCAGCTGTGCTCAGTTGGAGATGCTAGCGAGAGTAATGTGTTTTTCAGCTGGAATTGGGCCTATCCTATTGTGAAGAATACATTACAGCTCATGACACCCGTGGGACGCTGGAGTGTTTAGCCGAGACACTGCCGTCATGCAGCTGCCTGGTGTTAGTGCACTTGAATAAAAAAAAAGTGCCTTTGAGATGTAAAAACCTAAAGAACTAGTTTTTTGTTTTTAAAAGAAACAACTTTTATTTCAACTGTGTTGGCAACATACCAATGTCTTTTTTTTTCTTTTTAAATTTTATAAATGAATGTCTTATCTTGACCACCATTAATAAAAATAAACATTATTAGGGGTGACTAACAACAACTATGGTAACATGTGCCTTATTTGATCAAAATATATAAGGTTGCATTTTTATACATTATGAGACAAAATGCTTGAGAACTCAGAATCAGATGTGAGGGAACTGAATGCACAGTATTACACACAGTCTTGTAGAAAGAACTGACATGAGAGAGTGCCTTCTTTCACATTAATGAAATGAAAAATGAGACAGCTGTACAGCTCATGCAAAAAAAGGTTGATTAATTGATTAAAAAGCAAAACAAACAAACAAACAAACAAAAAAACAACAAAGTAATCTCAAAAGACCAAGTTGTTTATGATTCAGTATCAGGTACTCCAATAAGAACAATGCTAAAATAAAAAAACAAAACAAAAAACAGAACAGAAATAATAATAAAAATAAAAATAATAAACAATAATAATAAATTAAGAGAGCCATGCATTTAGCAAGGCAAACACTAGTATTTGGAAACTGAATTCAGCATTTCTGGATGTCAGTTGTGTGTATGACACAGTTGTGAAGCTCTAATTCACATAGACTCCTTTTTATTTATTTATTTTTTTTCATCATGCTTCTTATAGAATCCATTTTACATCCAAATCTGGACAGATCTTCTACACAAGCCCCAGAAAACAAAATGGCCTTCTCTTTATTATTCTGATATTTTTATTTTCTTCAAAGTCAAATCCCATCCCTCACTGTGATGTGCCATAATGGTAGGTATATTTATATATATTTATATTTCCCCTTTGTTCGTTTGGTACATAAAGTGAAATCATTGCGAGTTGTTTGGCTGTGGTCTCTTAGTAGGCAAACAGGAAGGGCAGGAGCTTATGCAAGATCAGCAGAGTGATGTAAAGGAGTGGCTCAGTGATTGCCATGGTTCCGGAACCTGCAAATGTCAGAGAGAGAGAGAGAGAGAGAGAGAGAGAGAGAGAGAGAGACAGAAATGCTTGTTAGATCACAGTGCACGCTAAAATAAAACAAATATCATCAGTTTTTTTTTTCTTCAAACATTCATTTACGAAGAACATTAGCATTCATTTGAAAAACAGAGCATTTTCATTGCTTTTAGTCTGAGGACATTTATTGCATCCAAATTTGATTCAGCATGTGGGCCATATTTCACATTATTAAAGCCCTTCAAATGGCTCTTTCATAACGACTGCTCAGCAATTTTGCTCTTATCACCTCATTCCTCCATCGAAGTTAACAATCTCACTTTACAAAAGCAAAACACAGTCAGCTGCTGCTGCTGGAGATGTTGAAAAAAAATGGAACACATGCAGAGAAGAGCCCTATAGGGGCTACAATGTAAGCTAAATGTCCTCGTGTGGAAACTACATGACATTTCCTCTCTGTGACTGACAGCAAAACAGCAGCCCACGGGCCTTTTGAGTGCTAGCCAACAGCAGCACAGCAGAAAATAGAAACAGATTGTGTCAAGAACGCACTTACACAAACCCACAACAAACACAAGAAAATGCCAGAAGGATACATTTAGATCACACATCCCTCCAATATAGACATGTACGCAAGACATAAACGCACTGGTAATGATTCATTGCTTAACGGGGCTGCAGCGCCGCTGACTTTTAGAGTGTGAAACGGCCGTCTGTTTTCTGCAGTTCTGATTTTCCCATGGCCATTTCTCACAGCGCTCCTTTACTCTTACTCTCCCTTCATCCCCGAGCAGATTAGCATGGCGTGCCAGGTCGCCTCGTGACAGGAACAGCTAGCTAGCACGACATAACACCAGCCCTTAGGAGCATGTCTTACAGTAGGCTCCTGGAGCGTGTCCACATGTCTTAAGAAGCCACATTTATTTTGCTTCCTCTCTTCTTTCATCATTATTGCAGAGGGAAGAGGATGGATGGTTGGTTGAGTTGGTGTAGGGCGGTCGGAAAACGGTGTGGTTCAATTTCATGCTCTTTCTGTAAAGTCAAACATTACAGCAGGGCTTACTCTTGATTTGACATAAAGAAACATTCATCTTCTTCTCTTTATTCTTTTAGTATTGCTATCTGAATCACTGGGACATAGCTTTAGCTCTTTTCCCGCCAGAATGTTATTTTTAAGTTTCCAGCATTTTCATTCACAAATATTTCATGACCTCCAGAATATTTAATTGTATGAATATGAAACCAGTGAATATATCAAAAGAAAGAACAGAGCCATAATTTTCATAAAAAATAAGTGAATTTTGAAAACAATTATCGGAACAATTATCAAATCATGAGTCCATGTCCATCAGCTGGTGATGGGCACTTTTGAAACACTGCTTTGTGAAGCTTCAAAACCTTTAAATTCGTTTAGAGCCAGTGACTTGGAGCATGTATCAAACTGCAAATGTCACATTATTTCAGTAGACAATGCTTTGTTACATTGTAACCGTTTGAAAACATTTAGAAATTTAACGGTTTTGTTGAACCTACTATAAGAATCTTGGATCTATTTTATACATTTTTTTTTCTGTCAGATGTATAACAAAAAGGCAGAGTTGCACTTATTAGTCTCTAATTGGCCTGATTAACCAAGATCTCCATAAAACAAAACAAGCCAAATACTTCGTATTTAATGGCATTACAGATTTTTGGGTTTTTGTTGCATTTACACCGTTCTGTCCAGCAGACTTCACCAGTGTGATGCTTTGAGCACTTCAAAACAGTGAATCATTTTGCAAAGCAATTCGTTCAGTTGATTCAACGTTTAGAAAAGCTTAGTTTCTCCCATCACTACCATCAACATCTCCAGACCTTACGCAGTCATATCATGTTAGCTTACTTGAGTGTAAACAACTTCTGTCCACTCCTATTTTACACAGATCTAACCGTGAAAACATGCATTGCTTGAATAATAACTTGTTAATGGCGGAGAAGCTTTTTGTAATAAATGACATCTATGGTAGGGCAAGAGTTAAAAACTGAAGTTATTGTGGGCATGAAACCATAGGATCTTCCATAAATCGTCCTTCAAAATGTCACTACACACGGAAAGAAAATCTCTTACCAAGGGACATGCTAGATACACACGAGATTAGACTAAACAAGGATAAGTGAATACACGAACAGACGTGCAAATCAGCTAAAATGGCAAAGTCATGACCCTGACTGCTGTGGAAATAATTACAGTCAACATCGACGCAGAGGGCTTCTGTGTCCAGCTCATTACTCACATGCCATCAGTAATCGCCTCCTCTTCCTCATTTAACCCTCTAGAAAAGGACGTTAATCCGTCTGTTCGCTTAATAACATATTTAATGAACACACCCCAGTGATCAGGATCAGTGCCACTTTTAAGAACATTTTATAACCTTTCAGGGATTATGGTTCTCATACAGCGTGTGGAAGGACATATTATAATGGCGAAGGTAAATCGTATCCCCGCAAAAAACCCAGGTTGTTTGTTTAATAATCCATGCTGGTCCAATAAGGGCAAGTTATCTGAATTATTTAGTTCTGCTTAATTGAATTTTAAAGATATTTAAGTAATATATGCAAATTTAGGCACATCCTCAGTAGACTGACTGCATGCAGAATATTTAGTCTCTAACATTCGTTTCTGGGTCATTTGTTCCCATTGCCCATTTTCTCACTCTTTTAACTATATGCTACATGAAGCATCCTGCCTCAGGTCTTGCCACAACCTTGAGATTGCATTTTCATGTGGACTAGTCACTGTAAGAAGCAGAATTTTCTTAACTGGCCCTGTTCTTAAATCTATTGGCTCACAGAGATATTCACTTGCGTCCAGACGTCGGGCCAAGCACAAATGACCTGACATTCTCCATTAGCTTCTCCTGATGCAATGCAGGGTACATGATTATCTTAATGACGGGAAACTGTCCTGATCCATGTGCAGCCCACTTCTGAATAATTTTATATTGGTAATGATATCAGTATTATAACTACAGTGTTCTTGCTGCATTACGGAATTTTTGAAAATAAGTCACATGTTACTTTTTGCTTTTATCAATTGTTTTCACTCCCTTCTGATCTCAGCAGGTGTTCTTACGCGGAGCTATAATGGCCCTTGAGGGCCCACTGGGAGATCAGATGCAATGGACTCTAAAGATGAAGGATTAGAGGGTTACTGTGTGATCATATTTGTTGAGCTGAGGCTGTGTTCCTCTCCCTCTGAGGGATAATAAGAGTTTCAGCAGCACACTCTTTCTTGTCGAAACCGTGCTTTATAAGCTACAGCCATACGTTTGGCTGCCCCAGCATGCCTGTGAATGCAGAGGCTGATATAGTAAATCAATGACACCTGCAAATGATTTTTCGTTTCAAGAGCTTAAGATGCTGATGGACTTATAATGAGTTATAATATCAAACTGGCAGTGCAATTATGATATCTTCACATACAGTAAGCCTATAAATATAAAAAAGATAGCTTAAACGAAAGGGTGACACTCATTCCCACCAGACAAGAGCAGAGCTTCAGCAAACAAGAAGATTTAAGCCTGAATGACTGAAAAAGAGGGATTATTGATCACACTAAGCCAACACGCTCAGTATACATACTGATAATTAACCCGTTTTTGCCATTTCACGTTTATGAAAAGACATCCAAACAATATGTTTTTGCTTAAATGTTACACCATGTGATTTATGTTTTGGCAGCAGCTATTTAAATTATTTACATTTAACCAGATACAGTATGAAAAGGCAACAAACAAGAAAAGGTATGCACTTTAAACAGAGATTTTGTTTTTAAAATGAAAAGCAAATTTTCAGACAGTTTCTTGGTTTTTATTTATGTGACGTAGCTCCAGCATTTTCCATGATATGATAACAAGTGGTAAGCACTAAAATAGAGGTTGGAAATGGGGTCTAAAATGCTTTTTTAATCAGATCATTGAAAACACATATGGAGGTAGTAAAAATGCATGTGACCACATTGCATTTGTAGTGGAAATGCTCATCCATCCTGATGCGTCCCAGATCATAGTGAAGCACAGCTTATTGTCTAAAAATGCAGTCACATTTACTGCTGTACTGCAATTTTTTTTTGTGTGTGTGTGTGGCCAAAATCCAGTCATTCAATAGGAATCCACACAATTACAAATTTTGTGTGAGAGCAAAATATTTCACTATGCAAATTATGCAACAAGTTAAATCAGAAAACAGCTTGGTTTGAAAATTACTTCTGTGTGAGCTGAGCTTTACAGATCGCTACACTATTGGCAACAGACAGTGGACCTTTTTTGCCATGTAATTTCATTAGTTTCACCGCAGCTTAACACACGAGTGTTCTGGGACGTTTTGTGACAAAGCCAACCAAAACAAGTGAGCCAAAACAAGTCATGTAACATGGGTTTGTTCATTCAATACTATTTGCCGCACTCAACGCTCCCATGAAAGCAATATAGAGTGTGATGGAATAAGAGGGGAGTGTCTCAATGAAATCCAAACTGAGTCATAGGAGACCAGATGGAAACAGTAATGCATCTTGGCTGATCACTTGTGTTTGGCTCATCTAAAACAAATCTTAGTACTAGGTGGAAACCGGGCCTGAAAGAAGGCACAACCAGCAATAACAAATTGTGGTTACACTTTATTTTAAGTTGTCCTTGTTACAGTGTAATTATACATTTAAGTAATGAGTAATATTAATTAACTACATGTACTTACTAAATAGTTAGGGTTAGGATTAGGGTTTGGGTTAGGGTTACTTGCATGTAATTATGCATAATTGATTGCTATTATAATAGTAAGTACATGTAACGTGTTACAAGGACACCTTAAAATAAAGTGTTACCCAAATTGCTTCCATTGAAATCTAGTCACGTTACACCTGGTTAGTGCATGGTGTAAGAGTAAAACAAGGTAAGATGCTTACAGTATTAAATAGTGGTAGATACTGCAGCAAATAGCATCTTGTTTACTCTAT